AGAATTAAAATAAAAGTAGAAACATTCAATAATTATCAAAGGTCAACTCAGAGTTTATATATATATATATATATATATAAATATATATATATGGTGGATTCTTCCATCATATTTGACGAATGAGAGTCAAGCAGTTCAGTTCCTAGGCATCAACACATATGATTTGATTATAGTGGTGAAGGCTTTGTGCGGAACCAACCACACTTTTTGAAGGGCCGGATACAGAGACCTGGTGCACTACATGCCACAAGGTCCCCAAATAACCTCCACAGGTTTTGAAATCAGAGTTGTCCTTCTATCCAAGGCTATAGAACCAAGTCTGTCCTTCTATTTACCCATAACTACAGGGAAAAGAGGATGATTAATACCTTTCCCAAGGATATTAACACATAAGTGAATGTAATGGATTTGACTGGAATTCGAACTCAGCTCTCCGATTCCTCAATCCAAGCTGCTATCCACTACGCCATATATATATATATATATATATATATATATATATATATATATATATATATATATATATATATATATATATATATATATATATATACATACACACACACACACACACACACACACACAAGTTTATATCTTAAAAAGATGAAAATATATCTTAAAGCAAAAAAATATTTGTCCGTACACTTTTAAAATATATATATATATATATATAATCTTCAAGTGTAAGGTCAGATAGTACCAATGTCCAAGACATTATATATTTAAAAAGTGCTCAATACAGAGTAGAGCTTAATAAGAATGCCTCTGAACTCATCATAGTCTATCGTTGGATTGGTTAATCAACGTCACCCCTCCTCGGCCAGCATGTTAGAAATTTAGGCCCTTTTTTTTTCTTTCTACCCCTCCTCGTTCAGGGTATTGCTGATTTTAGACCATAAATTGACTGTCTATTCTCTAGTGAGCAACACCACCTGCAGAGGCACATACAGTACTGGAACAGGATTGCCTTTACATAATAGTTCATAGCATGTTTTTGCTATAATTGTAAATAAGTATTTTTATATATATATATATATATATATGCATATACACTGTAGATTCAGTCAGGTCAAAATTATGCAAGAAGAGATTGAAATGCAGTGGGCTGGCCGCATGACCAAGACGGCAATCTAATGTCTGGTAAAGACCCTCCTCTTCAAACAATTGGTTTGTCACTGAACAGATATCAGGACTCTCTGAAAATGACCATCTCTTGTGGATTTAAACACCATCAGTGAGAAACAAAAGCAACTGACTTTGTGACATAAAGCCATTCAAATCAGACCCTCCCCAGCCTTTAATTAATGATCATTCCTTTAATTAACTAGGCACTGGAAAACAAAGATATTTGAATGATCGTATTTAATCACATATCCTACCAGACCTTTTAAAAAAAAAAAAAAATGGCTTGAAAAATATCTCCTTGGCTTCTATGTGAAGTTGAGATATCTATCAGGCTGATGCTTACCCAGATGCAGAAAACTAGCAATACTTGGGCCCCGCCCAAATCTACAATGTTGTAATATTGAATGCAAATCAGGGGACGGGTCTTACTTGGTAAACACAGTAGTCTATCATTCAAGCAGAAGTGCATTGTAATGAAGCCTCAAGTCTGTTGCAGCAAAAAACAAAGTCCCCCCCCACCTCCTCACTTTCCTGGAATGGTGTGGGGTGATAAGGGAATCGATGAATTTTTTCTTTTTTTTCTTCTTTAATCTATAAGTATTTTTTTTTGTCTATAAATAAAAAAGAAAGAGATAATTCAGCCAGTCTCGGAAGAGATGCAAAAGTGTTGGTGGTGGTGGTGGGGGGGCTGATATTCAAAAAATTTGGGGTGGCTAATATCTAGCGAAAAAAGAAAAGAAAAGATAAAGGCAGAGATGTGAGTGATGCTATTAGAAGGGCTTTGCTATCAAGTGAAGCCTGCTTGCAATTTCATCTGCTTGCACCCTCCACCACTGCCTGCAGACCATTTTGTTGCATCTTCTTTTGCAGCAGCAGCAGCAGGGATGTGTTGCTGGCTAAGGCAAAGCTACTAAAGCTATTAACACTTCTTGAATTACCCGACTTCTTCCATATCAATATTGCTTGATTCAATGCAGTGAAGTGGCAAATGCTTAGAATGTCTTAACTTTATATATGAGAGTAGGTGGGTGAGTACTGATGTACTTATATGTGTGTACATAGAAGTGTGCGTATGTGTGTGTGTGTGTGCACACTTTTATAGAGAAAATATATTGGTCAATTAAGAATATCAAATCCTTACAGCTTGAAAATTCCATAAATGGGTGCTTATGCCTATATTCAGAGTTCAATTTGTGTGTGTGTGTGTGTGTGTCTACACAGGGTGTGATGGGTAAATTGTCGCCATTTTGTGTTTTTAATTTCATGCATTCACGTTATTTGTTTTTGATTTTGTTAACTGCACAGTATAGTAGGGTCAGTTGGGCACCATCTGTGAGAAAAAGAGCACCATGACACAATTCATTTCACCAGAAATTTGGAAACAGCATGCTGTACTGCTTGGCATTTGTGCCGGAAGCTTCAATACAAACATTTCAGCATGTTTGCGTGTCAATCTGAGGACAGTGCAAAGAATTTGTAAAGAGTTGGATGAGTCTAATGGTGATTACAAATGTGTTTGGAATGATCCCTAGTGATGGTGTCAGATTTAACATGGAGGTCTATATCAGGATGTAGTGCTGCCTTGGGTCAAGCAGGTGGCTGCTGGAAGACTATGTCCAGTAACAGGACTCTGTACCATGCTACATAAGCAGAACAACATAGTCATGGCTGTCAGACAATTTCTCTGATCACATCAACCCTTACATCTGGCTACCTAACTCCCCAAACTGCAACCCCCTTGATTATTATATATTGGGCACAGTTGAGCGAGAGACCAATTAACGCCTTGTAACACCAAAGATGAAATGAAGGCAAGGATTATGGCAGCATTTACCAACTTAAGCAAGGAGACCATCCAGAAGAGTTGCAGGAGATTTCAAAGTCTTCAGGAGGCCATGGTCGAAGCAACTGGTGATTTATCTTTAGTATGTCAAAATATTTTTGTGCATTCTGGTAAAAATATCTGTTAAAATGAGATGTTGGTATTATTTTCATTTTTTTGCATAATTTATACATTGCACCCTATATATATATATATATATATATATATATATATATATATATATATATATATAATGGTCCAGGTTAGGACCAAGGAAGAATAACACGAACCCAAGAGTAGAAATAATTGAAAGGTATATTACACGAAATAATAACACAAGATGTGGAAGGTGTTAGTATGACTGTCAGTCTGGTTTGGAGTGAACTACTATCGGCTTGACTCATCCCTCTCTCTTGAGAGGCGTAGTACACATAGTGTTTGGAAGAGTTCATTCTGTAGTTATAGGCATGACAAATATATATATATATATATATATATATATATATATATATATATATATATATATATATAAAATAAATGCAAATGTCAGTGTGTCAAACTTTTTTAACTTCTCCTCAAGGCCATAGCCCAACATATCATACCATTTTAAAAAATTAGGCTGACTCCAAGAGCAAATTAAAAACATTCTGGGCTGGATCCGGACCTGCAATCCTGAATTTTGGAATCCCAAGATTTCATTAATGCGATTGTTTTCGGTGATATTTTTAAGTGATTTTTTTGTGACAAATTTTTTTACAATAATTTTGATAATTTGGAAATAAATTTGAGAATAATTGGAATTAATTGCAAAATCCAGTGAAAGTCACCCATGAAATAAAAATAATTCTTTGTACATAAAGTAAGGACCTACGTACATCAAATTGTCTTTAAATTAAGTTGTGGCAGAAGAATTATTGTGGAACGTTTAAAAGGTAAGTTTAAATATTAATGCAATACTTAAATGCAGCGATCAATTTTGAGTTCTTCTGTACTTTATTGTTTCCTATTGCATCTACTTCTCCTTACCTATTGTGATGAAGGCCCAATCAAGAGCCCTCTGCAGGAGCTAGCTTAAATACCAACCAACAGGGCTGCTTTTAAGCTAGCATATATGATAAGATAAAAAACAAATAGGAAATGTTTATCAATCTAGTAGGTTTCACTTTTAGTAAAGCTTCATCAGAGAATGAGATATGAAGAAAAAGAAGAAAGAAATAATTTATAGCGTTCTGAATTCAAGGAGAGACGACATGTTCTTTTGAAGTTTCAAGGAATTAATATTTTCCAGGCGTACCTGAAAAATTGCAAATATTGCTTTATGTATATAAGTGTATAATAATTCTACTTTGTCTATGTGGGATTTAGATGCTAATGTATATTTGTAAGTGTGTGTGTGTCTAGTAGACATTATGTTTGGTAGTTTTTTTGTATGTTGCTCTGGGAACATTTTAATTATGGCCAGTTTTGTCCCTGTTTACTACAGGTTAGTTTTGTCCCTGTTTACTACAGGTAAGCTATAATATTCAATAAATTAAGACTTTTTGCTGACTCAAGTTTCACAATGAAATGTTCATCAGGGCCAGTTATTTGATGAGAAACTCTTGGGTCAGTAAATCAGATTGTCACATGATCTTTTCTTAATTTATCGAATATATCTATCTCTTTACATTATATATATATATATATATATATATATACACACACACACACACACACACACACACACAGGTCTGGTTAAATGATTTAGACATATCATGTCAATTTATTTTGGTTGTGTTCCTTTTAAGTTCATAATCAATTTTCTAAGGCTACCAAGAAATATAAGATAAATACCCAAACTTGCTTTCAAATAGTTTTTATTTTCCCAAGTACTTTCAGACCATCTGTGAATGTGTATATGTATTTCTGTAAATTCAACATATATTACCTATGAACATTATATAAGAGATAGAGAGAGAAAAAAAAACAAGACAGGACATAGAAACTTTTTAAATAAATGTTCTTTACTTATACAATGACTACCTAAATAATAATAAAAAACAAAAACACCTACTGGTTTATAATCAGGTATTCCATCATATATGTTCATACGAGAAATATCCGCTTTTAACCGTTTCCTGTGACTTGGCTTTGTGATTCCAATCGCAGTCAAGTCCTGAAACAAAGAAAAGATGTGTAATAATTCTTAGACAAAATGCAGGAAAAAAATAAAAAATAAAAAAAATTAAGCACCAAAAATTAATCCAGCGATAATTTAGATGTGTATCCTTATCTTTGTTGTTTTAATCTGTGTTTTTTTTTTTTGCCAATGAATTCTATGGACTTTCTCAGAAATAAATAAATAAAACATGCAACTTAGGAATGAAGCAAAGTTAAAATCTTGAAAAAGAAAATTTTTTTTATGCCTTGTTATTTGGGCCAACAAACTCTTGGTTATTATAAAGACAACCTGTGAATTAGTATGTTTATTCAAACACATTTAGTTCCTTGGCAGTTGTGAGTTTAATTTTTTTTGAAAAAATAAAAAAAAATACATAAATGTAAATAAAACTGTCAAGTCTTCTTTTGTACCAAATAACAGTACCATCTGGAATAATCATGCAATATGTTAGAAGTTGAAAAATTCCCATATTTTTCAACTTCTAACATAAGAGTATAATGATAAACTACATCCGGTAGCAAGGTCTCTGAATGGAAGATTGCAGGTTTTTTGAGGAGTGTGAACCACCTCTTAATTATTGTTCCCAGGTCCACTCTGACCCAGGGTGGCAGCACCTGTTAGGGTCCCAGCCCCAAACAAAACAGTATGAAAGGATAAAAATACATTTTTTATAATAAAAACACCAGCAGTATATTTTTATATAAAAAATGACCAACAATACATTTTTATATAAAAAAATGACCAACAATACATTTTTATATAAAAAATGGCCAACAGTACATTTTTAACGAAAAATGACCGACAATACATTTTATCTGTAGTTGAAGACATAAAATTGTGTTCAAAATATTTAGATTTTGGCATTAAGTAATCCATAACAGTTGATATGCTACTAAACCAACCAACCATCATGAAAAAACTCTTTCATGACATTAATCCATATAATATTCTACAATTTCTTAAAGAAATCAAACTGTGTTCCAAAATATAACTTCAACAAAACTACAACATTAAAACACACATATCACAGCCTCTACTAATTATGTCCACATAAACATGTATATCCACAAAGCTGCGTATCATCTACCATGTATTCAATTGTGAAAGCAGAATAACATATATCATATTTTTATTACTTCAAAACTCCCAAGAAAATTGACAAATGTAGTCTTGGAGATGCCGATAAACTACACCCAGCAGTAAAGTATCTGATTGAGGGATTAGAGGTTTTGAGGAGCGTGGAACCACCTTTTAATTGATGTTGTTCCAGGAACCATCCTGACCTGGAGTGGTAGCACCAGTTAGGGTCCCAGCTATGAACAAATAGCGACCCCAAACAAAAACAAAACATTATGAAAGCATAAAATGTATAAAATATATATTTATACAGGGTGTCCATAAAATTCGTGTGCACTTTAAAAAATTTATAACTTTATTTGTATTTGCGATAGAAATAATTTGTGAAAAGGATTAGAAAGAAGTAAATCTTTATTTTTTTAAGGTTTTATTGAAATTTTATTTAAGTTTCCATGTCCCCCCATCATTAGCAATACAAAGGGTAATACGATTTTGCAGTTCACGGAAAACATTTGCCAACTGATTTACAGTAATGCCTGAAATCATATTAGTTATTTTAGCTATACTTAAAACTAGGTACATTAAACTTTATAACATTTTTTACAAGAAAATTAAATTTCATCATTTAAATGACCCAAACAAACAAATCAATCTAAAATAAGAGTGAATGTTTAATCAACTGGAACAAAATAAGCCAGAGAGAAATAAATATTTGAAAAGTAATAAGCATGTTGTGCCATATACGAATCACACAATGCTAAGCAGAAAATTGAAGGAAATAATGTAATCATGTAGGCAGAAGAGAATTAACGGATATGAAAAGTGGAAGACAGTTGAATAAAGGGGGTCTGGATCAAAATTTGGAAAAAGCACAACAGCAAACATCTGAAGAGCTTGAAGCATGTTGGTCTGAATAACATAGATAATGATAATTCCCCTGTCTCAGACAAAATTCAGACAAAAATGCAATAGATACCTGAAGAAGGTTGGAGGGTACTACAGCCGAAATGTTGTGAGTATAACAACCAAGATGAGCATGCTGGTTCAAATAGTAAAGTAGAAAATAATGACACTTCCTCGTTTAAAATATTCAGACAAAAATACAACAGAAACCCTGAAGGAGGCTGGATGGTACACAACAGAAACCCTGAAGGAGGCTGGATGGTACACAACAGAAACCCTGAAGGAGGCTGGATGGTACACAACAGAAACCCTGAAGGAGGCTGGATGGTACACAACAGAAACCCTGAAGGAGGCTGGATGGTACAACAGCTGAAAGTCAGTTGCTATACTAAACAATAGTATAACAACCAAGATTGGTATGCTGGTCTGAATAGAATGGTATATAATAATGATAATTCCTCATATCAAACAATCACATATATTATTTTTTTTTCATCTTTCTTTTCTTTTATTTGTTAATCCCATCTTCAACCATTAAAATATATCAGCAGCTTGTTTTACATGGATGATGCTTTTACCATTTCAGCAATACAATTTTAGGATCACAAGAAAAGTTCTTATCTTTTTACATGTATTTCTTTTTATATACATTTACGTAATTTTTATGTTTCTTTTTTGACCTAATAGTAATGGTTAAGTAATAAATGCATCTTTTAATCCCCAAACTACTGACAGTCACAATGAACAGATGTCCCCTTGAGGAGGCACCACATTGGAGCTCAAACTCACACTTGACCTCAAGTGGGACTCTTATATATGATCCATTGTTAAAAATGCAGGTAAAATGATTGGCTCTTTATACCGCTCCAGTAAGTACCTAAAATTTTTTTTATCATTAGGTCAGTAGATGCTAATTTTAACTGCTTAAAAAATGGGTATGTCGACCTAAACATGTGCACCCACTAAAATATAATGTGATGTGAACTAATTTTAATGCCAGAAAATGCATTTCTACCAGTGGGCTCCCTCTGGACATGATTATCCATTGGCAATACCCTGACAACATGCCTGCTACACTTACTCTGTAGCCTGTTTGCATCCTTTGTCTATAGTAATCTATATAACGTGCAAATGTCAGTGTGTCACTGTGCCAAACTTTTTCAACTTTATTCCTAGAAGCTGTAGCTATATATATATATATATATATATATATATAAAATGAACTCTCCTCTCGTCAGTTTTGACGTATGAGGATCAGACAACCATTTAATTCAGGTATGAATTTTGTCCAATAATCTTAAGTATGACTCAAGACTTGCAAGTGATTTGCAAAGGAGGCCACACATGGAGCAAAAGTGAGGATTGTGCGATGAGGTCACTGTTAGATTGGCTGACCTTTTAGATCTTGCTCTTGCTTCTTGAAGATGATTCAGACTAGCAGATAGAGAACCCCCGAGTCCCCTAAAACACATTGATCTCCACTCTATCTGCTCCAAGGCTAAGCACTCAAGGATGTTATGTGGTATATTGACTGCTGACAAGTTGCTTTTCAGCTTGTCTTTGTATCTTAGCCATGGGCGTCCTACATTCCTGTAGCCCTGATCTAACTGGCTGTACATTAGGATCTAAGGTATCCTGTCATCAGACATTCTCAAGACATGACCAGACCACCACAACTGAGACTGTATGAGGAATGTCTCCATTCCTCCAATATTACACCTATTAAACAGTATGGATGTCCTATCTTGAAGGCTAACTCCACAGATGGCACGCCGACAACTTTTATTTTATATATATATATATATATATATATATATATATATATATATACACACACACACGTGTGCGTGTGTATATATGAATTTGATACAAGTACAGTTAAATTACAGACAGAATTTCTAAAAATAAACTCACAGTATTAACTGATAACATTAACATTCCTGATAGTGTTCAGATTGTGAAGGAAAAAACAAACAGATGTTGTTGGCTAAATACTGGTTTTACCAAGGAAAGATGGTTCACTGTGTTATGCTAGATAATTTTTCTCAACAGAATCTATCTTACATATTTTTAAGTCTACCATTCAACCTTGCTTTGAATACATCTGGTCTGATGATCTTGCAATATATATTAAAGATTCTTGATAAAATCCCAAGCAGAATCTGCAATGTTATTAGTCATGACTTGGCATCTCGGCTTCAGTCACTTTCCCACCACCATAGCATAGCTTCCCTGTGCCTTTTCTATAAATGCTTTCATGATGAACTTTCATCTATGGTACTTTATGAATTTAAGCACAGTGCTGGATTAGCACGGTGGAGTAATGGATAGCGGTTTGGATTGAGGAATCGAAGAGCCAAGTTCAAATTTCAGTTGAATCCATTACATTCACTTACGTGCTATAACCCTTGGGAAAAGTATGAATCCTCTTCTTCTCCCCCTAGCTATGGGTAAACAGCAGGACAGACCAGGTTCTATAACCACAGAAATAAATGGCAACCTACTGCGGGAAAAAAATCTGCCTTGTCAGTCATGTATCAAAAGATACATGATTGTCTAAGCGTGTATCACGCACAGTACATAACTGACTGACTAGCTTAGTGGCAAAGTCTCATCATTTTATAGTTGAAATGGCTAGATTTAACTGTAAGTCCTATGCTAACAGTTTCTTCTATTGCACTTCTCGCTTGTGGAACTCTCTACTGGCTTCTTGTTTCCCTGCAACTTTATTCTTCAAGAATTTAAATGCAATGTTAATCATTATCTTATGTCTTCTTAATTCTTGTTCTTTTTCTCATATTCTCTTATTCTCTAACACTCAGTAATGTCTTGCATCTTAGTGGTTTTATTGCCTTGCTTGATTACAAAAAAAAAAAAAAATTTGTCAAATGTTAGACTCTCAGATATTGAATGGCAGGTTTTCCTTTTGAACAGAATCATTAATAGATCAATGAGTTGTAGTAACATGTTTTAAAAGAATATTTGGAAACACACATACACTATAGATGTAGAGAAAGAACGGTATTAATATATGTTAATTTTAAATAAGATGTCACTTTTGGTTCAGGTTTCCAGTTTAATGAAAAGATTTTTCCCAAGTCAACATCAATAAGATCAGTTCTGAATTCTGAACCGTAATCAATCAATATTATTGATTTATCAGCAAAACTGAAACAAATCAATGAGTAATGGAAGAAAGTAAACTGAATAACAATACGGTAGTGTGTAGCTGTGTACAGATATTTAGGAGAATGTCAATCAACCTTACCTCAGGGGTCATCCTTGAGATGGTAGGCATGTCGTAGCCGGCAGCTACAAAGTTATGATAGTACTCCTCGAAACGAAGATCCCGTAACCAGGTTAGAAGAATCTCCGAATCCTAAAAATAAAAAAAAGAATAATTTCTGTTATTATATATTAAAGAGAGAGAAAAAAAGTTAAGCAAAGATATTTAGTTTCCAATAAATATCAAGAGAAAAGACATTGTTTTTTTGCAGCAAAATTATTGCCCGTAATTCATAGAAGATCCCTGGATTTCAAATTTATTACCCGTAATTCATAAAAGATCCCTGGATTCCAAAATTATTGCCTGTAATTCATAAAAGATCCCTGGATTCCAAAATTTGCCATAAAAATATCAGGAGATGGGGATGATACCCAGGTAAAAAAAATGTTTCAAATACTGATTTTTAAAGCAAGCCCTCCCAACTTGGAAATCTGGAGCAACATGATCTTTTTCATATACAATCTGCTTAGTAATATGGCATATTGCCGACTGGTTAAAGCCTTCACTTTCTGACTGTGAGACCAGGGTTTGAATTTCATTATAGCCGATTTGTCAGGAAGCTGACTTCTTGATGCCATTGACCTTGGGAGGTGATCCTAGTATGTGGTAAATTTCGAATGTGCCTGAAAACCGTACCACAGATGGACCCAAGCCTTCGTAAGTGAAATTTGGGTATACACAAAGCACAAGTCAATTTTCTTTGTAAAACAAGATCCCCCAGTTAACATAAATCTGCTCTGAATCATAAAATAAAAAATGCAATAAAACTAAAACAATATTTAATTACAAAAGCTTTTAATTGATTTTATGAATAAGATATATTATGGATACAATTACATTAAGAAAAATTTTTTTTCGATGAACGTTTTTCATTTTTTGAAAAATTTTAATTAGAATAATTTATAAAATTTTAATTCTTTTAAAATTCTATATTAATTTGCAAGTGGCTAGGTGATATTGTTATTAAATTAAAAAAAAAAAAAAACTATATTTATTAATCATAAATAGTAAAGCTTATTTCAGCAATCACCAGTACTTAAAAAAAAACTTTGAATTATTTTTTGTGTGTATAAATGTGTCAATTTTTGTAAATACAGATATCCATACATGATATTATCATAAAACGAGTGGTAACTATAGCAAATTTAAAACCAAAGTACTTAAAATTCAAAACATCAGATTACTTTTAAGTATATTTTCTTAAATTTTTTAAGATTACTGGATCATTAAAAAATTATATAAAAAAGGCACTCATATTTGTTAAATAATTTTTACAGATATGTCTACCATAGAAAAAGATTCCAAACGTAAGTCTATTGTGAAAGTTGTCAACACCTCATAAAGACACATATTTCCATGTGAAAAAAATACTTTTCTGCAATATTTTAAACTAAAAGTAATATCTGTTTCAAATCCAATTAATTAAATTTTAAAATTCAACTAATCTTCCTCAAAGTTTCAGAAAAGTAAGTTTTATTTTTTAAAGATTTTTTAATAAAGAGAATTACATTGTGCTGACAGATTTGTAAATGAGGCTAAAATCAGCCTTTTTTAGTCAAAAACAACTCATTCCAATCAATATAAATTTGTTTTGAAAGACAGCAAAATATTTTGCTCATTGGAAATATTATATTTAATCAATTAGCTTGAAATTAAAAAAACTAAAACTAAAATAAAAGCTTCAAGAAAGATTTTTTTTTAAATTCATTTTAAAACTTAGATATCACTTTTCTTTGGTGGTACCTATATATATAAAATAATGAATACAGAATCCTTAAAAATGCATTCAGGTGATATTTTATTTTGTGGACTCAGAGGTCAATCTCTTCAAAATAAATTTTATTTTGTAAAATTTGATCTGAAGAGATTGACCTCTGAGTCCACAAAATAAAATATCACCTGAATGCATTTTTAAGGATTCTGTATTCATTATTATATTTGCTCTGTTCTTACATTGAGCTCTTTTTGGATTTATATCCTCCTTGGAATTATCCCTATTAATTATCAAGTGATATTTTACATATATATTATAATAAAAAGAAAGAACAGTAAGATATATAATCCAGTGTTCTTATTGATATTTTTATTTTTACAAAACAGTGCTCAATGTAAATTTACAGAGCATAAATATTAACTGATTTAAAATATTTCAATAAGTTATTCCAAAATTCGCTTGAAGATGAAACAGAACTAATGCTTTTAATTTAATTATATCATTAAATTTGAAGTTTTTAGCTTCGGTTTTTGAAACATGGTAATTCCTGTGTAGTGAAGAAACCATATTTTAAATCAGTTAATTTATTATATATATGTGTGTGTGTGTGTGTGTGTGTGTGTGTGTGTGTGTGTGTGTGCACGCACTCTAGATGTAACTGTGTACATTCTTATTTGTCATCCCTAGTGACAAATCACAAACTTATCAACATTAATATCTGCACAAGCATGAATGCATGCATATATGTATATATTTATGCAGGTTGTCATGGAAATATCTGATGGCAGCCACTGCAACAAATTCCTGGGCCAAAGGATTCTCCATCATCTCCTTAGCTTCTCTAGCAGCCTATAGATAATTCTCAATCAGTCCAATGCTAACAACTTGTCACAGACACAATAGACAAGTTGTTTGATGAAAGAAAAAACAAAGAAACAAATCCACAAACAAAAACACAGAGGAATGAAAAGAGAATTCAGTTTTTAATAATTAAATATTAAAGTAGAAAATGATGTCATCTCTTCTTTATATCTTTAGCTTTATGTACAGAAAATTTATACTTTTACTTATATATATATATATATATATATATATATATATATATATGTATATAAAGTAAATAAACCTAAAGAGCCAGACTTTACTTTACTCATGTCGGAGGTTTTTTCTTTGGACTCTGAACTTAGATTCTAGATGATTATTTTCATCGGAAGTATATGTTCTTAGTTCTTTCTTTTTTTTACCCTTTTTTTTCCCTTGGGTATTAGTTTGTTCACTTACAAGCTAAAACACCTAAGGTTTTGCCAGACAAGTATAGCTGCTTACATTTATAAGTTTATTAGTGTTATATATATATATATATATATATGTGTGTGTGTGTGTGTGTGTGTGTACACATGAACACAGAATACACAAGAAAACTTACATCAGTGTTATGTGTGCCTAAAAAGAAAATATAAGCAGTAAATTACTGATACCTACTGAAGAGTAGACGGGGAAGTCTATCTCTGAAACTCTGGAGTCTGGATGCTGAAGGTAGCATCAAACAGCTAAGTGACAAACTTTTAGTCACATTAATCATATATATATATATATATATATATATATATAAAAACAAACAAGCACAGAGACATACAGACTTTCTTCAAGACTAAAGCCAGGAAGTGATAAGCTAGAGTAATTAATGTGATTTACGACAACCAACTTAACCCCAGAGATCCCAAGATGGTCTCCTAACACATTGCTTTGTATTTCTTTTATTCAAACTGATGACACCAAAGAGAACATAAGAATTCTCCTGTGAAACACATCTTTGATAAAAAAAAAAAAAAATTCCACTTTGTCTTATTTGCACTCATACACACACACACACACACACACAGACACAGACACGCATATATATGTGTGTGTGTGTGTATGCAGCTGTGGACAGAATTATTCACTTCCCACTGAATATTTGTATATTTTTTAAGAAAATGTAAATATTTGCAAATACTTACTAAAGTTACCATAAATAATTGATTCCATATTTAGTTTTGAATAATTCATGAAATATTTAGAAGTTTTAGCCTATTATATTCAGTTATAGATTTTCCTAAAAATTGGTGCAATCCAAAATTATTTGCCCCCCTCCTTATGGGAATTCTGAAATAATATTGCTCTATGGCAATTGTAATGTTTTTGTTCTTAATTTGACATTTAATACAAACACACTTTGAAAATGAAATAGTATTTGCCTGATTCTAGAACATTCTAAAAGGTAATGAAGAAGACAAAATATGTGAGTGCTATGTACTACAATGACTGATTCATTCTGCAACCATGACGAAGACGGCTGAACTTGACAAGAAGCTCTGAATGAAGATAGTTGATGCGTACAAACAAGATGATAGATATACAACCCTTTCCAAGCATTTAAATGTTCCTAGATCAACAATTTGTAGCATTATGATGAGACTCATTGTATTAAGGATAAGTTAAGGACTGGCAGAAAATGGTTAATTCTCTGAGAGAATGGAAAGGAAAATTGTTAGAGATATCTTAAAGAATCCTTACTTAATGACAGTGATGTAAAGTTAACAGGGCTGAATGTATTGAAGACACTAGATGCTTTTATTGAGCAGGACTTTGAGCTAGTCACCCAAGGAAAACTCCCTTGCTTAAGGCTAAACACCTAAAATGCAGATTAGCTTATACTAGACATCATCTAGAACATGGGAGTGAATATTGAAACTCTGTTTTATGATCAGATGAAACCAAACTAATATTATTTGGTTACATGAACTCCTGTTATGTATGGAGGAAAGTGAATGAAGCTCACAAATCAAAAACACTCTCCCTACAATTAAGAACAGTGGCGGGAGCATTCTGATGGGGGGGATGTTTTGCTGCTTTTGGATCAGGAAAACTAATGAGAGTACAGGATATCATGGATAAAGAGCAGTATTTGGCTATTCTTAAAAAATAATATATAACAAAGGGAGCAAAAGTTGTCTTTGGGGGTGTCACTGGATGTTCTGACATGACACAAAACACACAGAACTAATTATTACAAAATACTTAAATGAGAGCAAAATTAAGGCATTGTTGGACCTTGCACAAAGTTCTGACTTAAACTGCATTGAAAATTTATGGGCATATTTGAAGAAAAAGTAAGAGAAAATCATTTAAATTTGGAGGAACTAGAAGCTATTGCCAAGGAAGAATGGAGCAAAATACTTATCAGTGTGTGTAATGATCTTGTAAAGAACTATCAAAAATGATTAAAGGCAATAATCAGTAATCAAGGTTACACAAT